AGAGAAACGTGCCAAGAGACTATATGATGTCTTCTTGGGAAGCAGTCCAAGTCCCTGTTGGCCATGTCCCCATGGCCTGTCCTCCTCCAAGCTGCTGGAAGAGATCTGAGAATAGTCCCTGATCACTCCTGCCAGGGCTCACAAAGCATGCTGCTCTCTTCCAGCACTTAGAGTTTCCCCAGGAACCATGCAGGAAAGAAGAAGAGTAGCCCAGACTTCTGGGAGACACTTTCATATCATGCCTAAGCCACTACTCTGCTGCTCAGCCACATGGCTCCATTAAGTCCCCTCCTGGCTGTCTTCTTTCCATCAATCACCCCATCTCCACGAGCAGCCCAGACACCGGATCTGGGTTATAAATAAGACAATCAATCAGCGATGCTATTAGATAAACAGAGTGGCAGAAGCCAAATTAATGCTTGGCTTTTTCTTGAAAGGGAGGGAAAAAAAGAGTCAATTGCTTATTAGGGGACCCTGGTGTGGTCTGGTCTGCGTGCTGCAGCTGATCTGGTTGGGCGGCGCTCAGCTGCTGTGACTGTGTGCCAGGGAGGTTTGGGATGCTGTGAGTAGATGCTCCATCCTTGTGAGTCACTGGGTCCAGGGCAAGCAGGGAACTGGGGTAGACTGGAGGTGGCCAGAAAGTTCACAGCACTGGGGAGGTGATGGGGAGCTGGGAAGGCAATGGTGGGTGCTGCCCATCTGGCCATAGTGCAGCTGGGGGGGTTAGGAGGTGTCAGAGCTGGTCTGGTGGGAAGAGAAGGCATGAGGCTGCAGGAAGAGGTGTCTGGGGACCAGGGCAGAGGCTGAGCCTTTCAGGATAGACACGAGGAAGAGGAGAGTCAATGCTTTGAGGTTCTTCAAACAACAGATGGCATCTTCTGGAAAGGCATCAAGTCCTGGTCTGGAGCCACCAAGGAATAAGATGGTCCAAGGCTTCCCTTTTCAGACTGCTATGACCATCTGTAACCTCTTACTGCTACAAGCCTCAGCCCTAAAGCATTGTGGGGATTCCCAGGGCTGTTGTTACCCACAGGGATCCCACCAGCAGCTCTGTCTGCTTCTCTGTGTGGTGGTGGCTGAATCACTCAAAACTACTGGGCTTATTCCTGCACCACTGGTCGTAGGCAGGATCCTTTTCTCATAGTGAGACCCCGGTGTCTGAGCTATCTCTCCTGCCACCAGGGAAGAAAGTCCTGGAGGAAGGCTATAACCTGCCAAGGGCATCCAGAGCTACATCTTTGTAGAGGAGACGTAGGCATTTTCTGAAACAATACCTTGTGGTTTGAGGTGGGCACTTATATTTTGCTGGACCTCATACCATTACAGGTCAAAGACCAGGGAAGTCAGGGCTCCTCCAAGTCGAGCTGACTATTTGGATCCTCACCCCTCACAGATGCTGCTGTTCATGCACTCACCCTGAGGACCGACTTTCCACCAGCTCCTGCTGCTCTTGCTTCCACCTTCCCACCTGTCCCTGTTGTTGCAGTGGAGGAGGATGTTTGTCCCTTGGGCACCAGAGCTACCCCTATGCAAATAAGCAGCAGCTGGCTTGATGGATCCCACCCTGGCATTTCCATCCAGCTCGGCAGGATGCTCTCATGCTTGGGTCTGGCTGTGCAGCACTCAGTGTGGCTTCTTGGCAGCCGAGCTTGCCTTCACACCCTTCTGCCTCCCTGCTCTCACCTGGGACAGTCGAACCCTCTGCTGGAGCCAAAGCTCACAGCACCATGCCTGCTGCTCCACCAAAGCGTGGTGCCCCATTGAAGCCTGACGACTCCACACTGCCACTCTAATTTGTGATAAGTAAGCTACTTACTGTCACCTTGGGGGGCTCCAGGCTCTTGGGAGGCTGGCACAGGAGCAGGGATCTTCTCTGGCCATTGGGCTGTGGAGGATGAGACCTCTGCTGGCACCTGCCTCCGGGAAGGATGCAGGAGGTGCAGTGATTTGGACCTGCTCCTGCTCCGCTGCTCAGCCCCATCACTCAAGCAAGGGGGCTTTCTGCTTCCTACAAGGCCTCGTGGCCAGGAAACAGCTCCTGCTTTACAGCCACACTTCTGATCCCTCTTGCAGAGCCCGGGGAGCTCAGCACAAGGCTGCTCTCGCATCAGCAATGGCTGAAAGCAACACCTAAGGTGGGATTTACTGCCACATGTGTGCGGGGAGGATGCAGGGACCCGTTGCGCCCGGCTGATGTATTGGATTTCAGGTTATGTGATGCACAGGTCTCTCTGAGTGCTGTAATTCCCTCTTTCTTCCTGTATGGATTTATACTGCTAAGTGGATGGATTTTCTGCTTGGCAGGGATGCTCCTCTGGGACCTTCCCCAGTTAGAAACATCTCCGCACATCTGTACGTAATATTGCTGGGGCACTTCACGAGTGGACTTTTACGACACCCCTTGCTTTATGGACTGCTGCTTAATCTGGCCAGGCACCACAGAGGGGCTGAAGAACAGCATCCTGGACCCAGCAGCAGGCTCCGTGACAACTCCAGGGGTCAGAGGGTGCCTGGGGCTGTGTGCGAAAGCCACCTGGGCTTCTCATCCAGCTGCCCTGGGCAGCGAAAGCAGGTCCCCAAAACAGCTTGAGAAGGACGGTTTTCCTCTGCTTAATAACCTGAGATGGCAGGGCTGCGGACCAGGCATGGAGATCCTGGGTGGAGATGAAGGCAATCTGTCTGTCTGGGATGCTTCCCTCAGGCAAAGGCTGGGCCTGACGTTTTCATCTCTGCTAAGAGCTGTCCCTTCCCCCTGCCCCGAACAGCCATCTGCTATGGTAGATTACCCTGGCTTTTAGCGCTGTGAATCCATAATTAGTGCATAATTAATTACCAGATGTTTTTAACACTAATGAAACATTAATAAATGACGGAGGCATGTTGTCTGGTAATGGAACATTAACCAGTGAACCAAGCCAGCACATGGGGCAGCACTGCTGCCGGCACGGCCGAGCTGGAGGCTGCACGGGACTAAGGTCTCCTCTTATAAAGCTCCAGCATTGCAGAAGTTGTAGAAAGTGGGAACTAGTGGTGGGAACTGGTGGGAACTAGTGACCAGCTTGGTGATGCCTTCAGGCTTTGCAGAGCCCAGGCTGTGGCTACTTCACCTCCATCCACCCATCCTTCCATCCATCCTTCCATCCATCCACTCACAGAATCATAGAATTGTCTAGGCCGGAAGGGATCTCCAAAGGTCATCTAGTCCTTCCTTCCTTCCTTCCTTCCTTCCTTCCTTCCTTCCTTCCTTCCTTCCTTCCTTCCATCCATCCATCCATCCATCCATCCATCCATCCGTCTCCCAGCTGGAGAGACGTTGTTGGCAGTTTACTTTAAAAATCAAGTTTTTTTTCCCCTGGGCTGAACTGCAGCTCAATGATGTCTCTGCTCCAGATGGTGTTCACAAGCAAGGCACGTGGGGAGAGACCAGACCCTGACACAGCGTGCTTTGCTGTGCTCCTTGCCCCTGTGCAATGTCCCGGTGAGCCCGGCCCTGATGGAAGTTTAATTCAGAGCATCTGGGCCAGTGGCATTTTCCTAACGTGAAATTATTAATCAGACAAGGAAAGTGCATTAATTGGGACAATGTGTCATCTCCAGCCTCCAGGCTGCAGCGGGCAGCAGGCAGGTCTCCATCCTGGGACATGTGGCACTTACCCATCACGGGGTGGTGACAACCACCTCCTTTGCATCCGCAGGGGTTTCCAGGGGTGGGCATCCCCCTTGCACCTTCTCAGGATGTCCCCAGGCCTGTTTTTGGGAGTCCCACCCCCAACCCTGGGGAGATGATGCTATGGGCTCAAGCCCTGGGGCAGGCTCCAAGGTGTCTGTGTCCCCCTCACTGCCATCCCCACGTCCTCCCTGTCACCACCAGCACCACACACGGGAGCAGGCGGCCAAACCCACCCACTCTGGCCGGAGGGGAAATAACACCCAGAGCTGCCAGTCATCATGAAATGATCATTTAATGAAGACCGTCTCTCCTGGTGCATGTGTGTGTGTGTGTGTGCGCGTTGTCTCTGTGTGAGCTTTGTTTTATCCCCTCTATTACTTTTTTTTTTTTTGATTTTTTTTTTTTTTTTTATATATATACATCTATAAAAAATTCAAATACAGCATGTCAACAGTGGGAATACTAGGACGTAACGGTATTAAATACTGCGCTTGGGTCCAGGCAAGGGGCGAGAGGAGGTGTCTTTACAAAACAGGGCTTGGGGCAGGATAGGGAGGAGAGCAGAGCAGGCACGGGGACAGCTGGGGACAGCGGGGGACAGCAGGGGACAGGTCTGCAGGGCTCCAGCTCTAAAGGCAACAGCAGAGCGATTCTGCTTTTGTTGGAGAATGAGACAAACGTCAACGGGGGTGATTCCCTGTATCCAACGTGGTTAAAGGTCTGGGGGTGACGTGGGGACGGGGTTGGGGGTGGCGAAGGCTCCTGTGGGGTGCTGTGGGGTGGGGGGAGCCAGAGGGGCAGGTCTCCCAAGTGCTCAGCA